TAAAATTAATTCAGTAACTGGTGTAGAGAAGCTAATTCGGCAGTAAAAATTGAGTCAAAGGGGAGCCTATATAGAGTTGTGAGGAGAAATCTTGCTTAAACTTGGAAGAGGCCTTTTGGACCGTTTTTTTTTTTTTTTTTTTTTTTTTTTTTTTTTTTTTTTCCACTGAATTTTGCCCTACTTGTAAGAAATTAATATTGTTTATTTGACTTTTTTTTGTTTGTTTTTTTTTGTCAAATGCCCACATAAATACTTATTTTACTTGTTAACCTTATCAAGATCGTATTTTATACGTGGACCTTTCTTTCATTTTTATTTATTTTTTATTTTTTTAAATGAGTGACAAGCACACTGACAGTGCAGACATAGCGCATTCTTGGGAGCATAAGTCCACCCCATATATATTAACATATTAATACATCTCACGCTTAGGTCAGTCAGTCTCTAACACCATACTGGTGCTAAATGGGCATGACTAAAGTAATCCTGGACTGGTTCCAAAAGTATTATTTTATACAGTTGTACACCTGACTGATGCTTCTCTTGTCCTTAGTCTTAAAGTAAATGCATATCTGATAGATTGCAGACCAAAGTCCTCCCGTGATTAGCACTCACTATAGCCTTGGGTCAGTATACTCAAGCGTACGCAACCCTTAAGGGAAAAACAATCTTAAATGTCCCATTGATGGTTAAAAATCTGTAGTGGTTATTTCTAGAATTGGAATTCTTTTCTCCAGGTTGATACCTTCATTTATAGGGCTATTAGCTTACTATCAAACACAGAAGCTATCTCTGCCATATTCCCATAACCTATGCATTTTAACGTGCCTAGGTCATGATGTGAAACGTTTCACCACCTTGAGGCTCTTAGAAGTGTATATATTGACAGTACTTCTTCTCTGGTGTTTGCCAGGACCCACTTCACATTTTGGAGAGACTTCTGGCAGCTGTGCCTCTGGTGTATAGTGGGCTGTTCAATTCATACATATTCCTTACATTTTTTTTGTTGTATTCCACATGTACGTGTAGGGAGATTTTCCTTTTCCCCAGCTGTTTTATCTCACTTTCTCATGCTTTTTTCTGAAGGCTCTTATGTGACAGCCTGAGAAGAAACTTGGACCCTTTGATACCATCTTTGTACACAAAGATGCTTGCTATCTCTACAAGCCACCCAAATGGCTCTTGGTTCATATATAGAGAAAGATTTTAAGTGATATGTATTTTGAACTACCTATATTGAATTGATTTACTGTAAAACTTTACTCTTTATATAAAATAGTAGGCTCAGTGTCTCCTGAAGGCAGTATACATGGTGCAGGAAACAAGGTACTTGTTGTTCATGGAGAGTCTTGATAAGTATGCTTGTTTTCCCACCTCTTTATCTGCTTGTTTTCCCGCCTCTATATCATAGACAAGGCTACATGATTTCTCTTAGAACATTTTCTTAGGTCTTCTTTTGATTGCCTGAGTATTTGCTTTAAGTGGCCTGAAGTAATTCGTAGGTTTTATGCTGCCCTGCTTTGGATCCAGTATTTATCTTAATACTAATAATACTTAGAAGCCTTAGCACCAGAGGTGCTATCCCAATGTTACTGTGCTTGCCCTGGCAAATGAACTGAGAAGCTGTCTGCACAAAAATCATGTTGCACAAAGACCGCACTAGCATGAAAGACAAAGCGACCAAAGGCACCGTGTGCTATGTTTTTGCACTATTAACATTGATACTATATTAGAAGAAACATGAGAATTGAACAGATTTTTACAACATTAATAGACAATAACAATGCTGTTTTAAAATTTGCATTGCAAAAGGTTTTGAGAAGTGGTTACTAGGGGCTTAATTTTGATCCCAATAAAGCAGATGTTTCTGAATTGCAGTTTGCCCAGCGTAGGAGGTTAGGAAAGCCTGCTTAAAAAAAATTGTCTTTAAATTGTTCAAGTCATAGAGTAGCAGTTAAGCTGTCCTTGAGCAGTGGCCTTCACCAGATGTTTCACAGGAACTGTCAGAGTTTTGCAATAGGGAGATTTAGGCTAAGCAATTTCCATTTTTCTGTCCAATTTTCCCAAGGAGTCACATTCCTTTCAAAAAGTTTGCTTTTACTCATGGATGTTTTGGATATCCCTGAGAGAAGTATTGGTAGCACCACTATTTCTGTGTTTATGTTAGCAGGCAGGAGGAGAACCTGTGTGTCGTGGCCTCGCTACCGTAAACCTCACCACTGTACATGCAGAAGTGTAGTTGTACTGTATGAGAAATGCATTCTATGAAAAATACCTTTTTGTGGTTGATCTTTGGCTTTGCCAAGAATGGGCAGAATGAGGGATATTGCTTCATATTTGTGCCAGACAAAAACATCAAGAATATTTCCATGAGTGCTACATGCATGAGACTTATGGCAGTTTCCTACCAGCACTTTGGGGATGGACAACTAAGAAAATTCCCAGATCTTGTGCTTTATGAACTAACTTACTGAATTGTTGAGGAGGTACTTTTTTAATGTTTGTGTGACTCTTATTTCTCCCTAGTTGTATTTATACTTCTGAGAGTCTGAGGAATCAGAAGAAAAGCAGTGCAGGGAGAACTTCAACCCATTTTCAAAGATTCACAAAACTCAGTTATTATGTGGGTTATTCTAACTGAATCACAACACAGAATCTTTTGAAATTTGCTTATCTGTCAAGAATATGTTATTCCATTTAAACTATGAAAAGACTAAGTAGATTCCATAATTTAGTATTTTGGCTTCTGACAGCTCTTCTTTTTCTTCTACTCTACATTTTGGGCCTTTTCCACCCCCTTCTGATGACACTTACAGGTGGCAAAAGAAGTAATTTGTGTAGGGAGTTAGGAGAAGAGTTTCTTACAGTAATAACTTTGCAATTCCTTCATGTTTTTTTATGTCACACAGATAATCTTTATCACTTCAGGAAACTAACCTGAATATTAGATATTGGGCCTCTTGGACATGAGCCCCTTCTGAACATGAATACAAACTGTAAAAAGTCACGTTAAATCTTTTTCTATGTGATGCATCAGAAGTTCAGAAAAAGTTCATTTTATTTTTACCTTCAAGAATTGTGATTAGCCAGAAACTATGCTTTCAGAACCTGCAAACAGTCCATTTATTTGCCAGCATCAGAATGAGACTCAGAGTTCCAGTGAAAACATCTTTTTGTCTGCTAATGTAATGGGTGCTTATTTTCTGCATCTTCATGTTACTTGGAAAAGCATCAGGGTTTCATTGTAAATCCATTATGTCTCCCATGGTCAGAAATTATAAATGACAACTAGTCCCAAGGTAAAGAAAAGAAAGTATTATTTTGTAGAGTAAAAAGGGGTTAAATCACTTTTTATCATGACTGTTCTCTTGGTTATGACATATTCAATGTATTATTTAGTTTAAGTGCATGATTAAGATAGAACTGGGGTACTTCTGGGGAGCATTTTCACAGACGTTATACTTACAGTACCTCATTCTGTGGTACAGAAGAAAGAAAAATGACATGTCCCTTTGTGAACCTATCCTTTTAAAATTAGGTTATAGATTATATAGCGGTGTGAGATCCTCTATGAATTTCTGGGTCAGAGGTACTTTGTTTTCTTTCTTTTATACAGCAAAACCCTTGTATCTTTATTAAAAATTTATTTGCTGTCAATAATTAAATGCTTATTATTTGATCTTTAATGGGGTCATGATTCCCATATTCCCATATTAATGAAATAATGCAAAAGTAAAAAATGCCTTTCAGTTGGAAAAATTACTTATTATTCTTTCTTTGTTCTGAGTAAAATAGTTTATCTTAAATTAAAAATTAAAAAATGAATATTCTTTAATCTTGGAATTAAATTAGTGCTAATTAGTTCTATTTTCTCTACAATATTCAAATGCTAAAGTCTTAGTCATTTCTTCAGAGTATTAATAGTGCCCTTTGGCTGTAATCAAGATTATCTTCAATTAAAAGCAATACAGTTAACTCAGTTACATTAACAGTTATTGTTCTCAAATCACAGGGTTAAGAATACAAATCCTGTGTGTTTTCAGCATGGCTACATTGCTAGGGTGTGTGGTGCACGGATGTGTTATTTACACATTGAATCTAAAATGCAGTAACTTACCATGTGCTTCACTGATGAAACCCATTCGTATGTAAAATAATTTGTTAAAGTGGTAACATACACAGAACTGAAAGATGGTGCATTAAGCTAAAACATTTTTTGGATTTGGTCAGTGTTCGAGCAGTGTTCCCCCCTTCCCAGCATAGCCTTCATTCTGCACCTTTTACTGCAAACTCTGTGAATTATGGGGCATTTTTGATGAGTGAATTCTGCTTGATATTCACAGCTGTTATTCTCCTTTGTGAAGAATTAAAGAGCACTTGCCAGTCTGCAATAATTCATCTTATTTTATTAATGCTTTTTTTTAGTTCAGAAAATTTGTTACATAGAGTAATAGAGGACTTCAGCTGAAAACAGAAATATTTCATTCAAATTTCTTAGTGTATCCAATATGAATAAATGTTAGTCCCATAGAAACAGAAGAAAAAGGTTTTCATGCATGTTCACAGAACAGCTCTTTACGGCTTCAAAAGCTAAGCACAGAGCTTGGGAAAATTCCTTTCACATGGCTGTGTTTACAAACAAAAAGTATAAACATCGTAAGCAAACAGAACTGATGAGGGGAACCTTGTTTGCTTGTTAGCAGATTAGCACTCCAATAGCAAAACTAGTGTGATTCTGTCTCAGTAAAAATTAATAACAGTTGGTGACTTAAAAAAAAAAAAAAAAAAAAAAAAGCTTTGCTTTAGAGTTGCAAAAATATTCTTATATTTCTACAAACACCTGTCAATATCACTTCTATAATGTATTCCTGCTAGAACAGAAAGAACTTCCAGTGGGCTCTAATACTTGATAGTTTCCATCAGTTTTGATGAAATTTTTATATGTCAGAAGCTTTTCTAAATTATAATCTCTTTTTATTTTATATTTTTCTTATATTTAGATTCACCCATTACTGATCTGCAGACGGCAGTGGTGATTTCTCTGTGTTGCCACCCTTCAGAAGCTAATGAGGTAAATCGTATAACTGGACAGAGTCTGTTAGAAAACAAACTGTACTCAAAATCTGTTAGCAAACTTAATTTCGATAGGTTTCTAAGATTTTAAAATCTTTTTTCTCAAAGCATAAATGCAACCAAAGGTTTTCTTTTAAATAACATTTCTGTTCTCTCAAGCAAATACCCTTTTTGAGTCTCAGAATGCTGGCACAGCCATCTTAGCTTGACACTGAGGCAATAAATCAAAAGGGTTGGACAAAAATATGAAACCATACCCTTCAGAAAGAGCATTGTGTCTGTACATGCAAAAATAATTGCTTTCTTGGAATGTGACAAAAGAAAATTGAATATAAAATATGGTGTTAACAGACAACAAATCTAATTTTTAGAGGTTTCTTTTTCTACCTCAGTCAAGAGGATTTCCTGAGGAATTGTGTATCTTTGGTACAATATATTATAAAGACATATATATGAGTTTAATGCTTTCTATCTTGGAAGAAATGTAACATTTGCTAAACTTTCCCAGGATGTTAGACTGTTTCTCTCAGAATGTGACTTTAAAAATAATATAAATAAATAAATAAAAGGAAGAAACAAAACATAAAGCACAAAAAAGAAAGGCGCAATTACCTGTTAGATTCTCTTGTGATTTAAATGAGGCCAGGTAATTTTCTGGAAAACTTCTGCAGTATTTTGTGACTTACATGACCAGTTATCCTCTTAGGTCAAACCGGGAATATAGGACTGCAGAACTTGAGTTTTACTCAATGGCCAGTATGTAGCTTACTGCTTTCTCAGGGCCCTTTCTTTTCTGCCTTTAAGGTAGGTAGAGATAGTAGGAACCAGATTCCATGACCCTCCTCCCTCTATACATAGCAGAAATGCTTAAAAATTGACACATATTATGCAAATTCTGTTTTCTTTATATAAATAAAAACGTGTGTGTGTGTGTCTGTTATTTGCAGGTTGGAAAAAAAATGCTTTCTCTGTGTGTGACTTTTCAAAAGAGGGAGACTGATTTTCTACCCTGCCTTAAGTGATAGGTGATATTTAATAGAAAAAGGATTATTAGGCTTAAAAAAGTTTTACTTTTCTTTCCTTTACCAGGTATGCTCTTTAGTCCCAGGCATGCCCCTCGACAAAACATACAAAACTTGATTCCACATTGTATCTATCTGTTCTAGGAAGTTATCTCTTTTCATAGCTTCATTGCTGCTAGAGGTCTCAGTTTACTGTTAAAGGTTACAGGAGCCTTATACATACTTGCATTTGATTTTTGGACTGGGCTGCCAGTCATCATTTCATCATTCATGTAATTGCAATTTTATTACTGACTTTAACCCTTGAGTAGAAGTTAGTCCAGAATTTCAGAGTCTCATATTTTCTATCTGGATTTACCTGTGGGTGATATGAGGTGTTTCCTAGCAGGAGAGTTCTACCTCCAGTTCTGTTGCTGGGTTTAGTCCCCCTGCAGAAAGTATTGGGAAGGACGTGTATGTAAATGAAGGCTGTAAGAAAGGACACATGCAGGCTTGCGGTGTGGAGTGCCTCTTTCAGTATTGTTTGTATTTCACCCTTAGATGGATATGCTGGGCTATATTCTGATCACAGTCATAGAGAATTTGTCACAGTGCAACTAAAACTGGGATGTGTTATGTTATGTATTTTCTAATTACTCCAGGCTTATTCTTTTCTTCAGCAAGACCTATGTTTGTACATATTTATGTATGAAAGTGTGAAGAACAGATATACAAAATACCTCAGGACTGCAGTGATGTGTCCTCAGGCACACCTGGTGTACAGGTGTACTCCCAGGCATCTCGTTAAACCTCAGATAATTCACCTTTGCAATACATAAATGGGAATACAGTGTCTCAGTTCACTCTCTTTTTACGTGTTAGCATATGTGTAGAAGGAAGAATAAGTTTATCATCTTTCTTCAATTAACAGTTGGTGAGGAAAAATGGCTTTTACTATTTCATTTGATTTCAATAGGCATTGGGTCTACCTGTTAGAAAAACAAACAAACAAACAAAAAACAAACTATGATTTTGATTACAATGAATGTTGATTGGAATGTTTGAAATCTATTATTTTTTTTAAAACATTTTCTTTTTAATAATTCTCCATAAAACCAGCTGCTCAGATACACATTTTATTTCTGAGTACTTTATTTTCCAAATCTTTCCTTTATTTGCCAGAGGGAAGCACATTAATATGAACATAACTGTCAGCCTGAAAGCTGTGACACTGGAAAAATATTCAGACTGACTAGCTGATCTGAGTCACTATAATAAAAAAATAAAAAAAATATATATATATTTTTAAAAAGGAAAAAAGGAAAAGAAAAAGAAAAAAAGAGAGAGAGGGAGAAGGAGCAACACAACCAAATGAAGTCTTTTTTTTCCCCAAATCACATTGTGGCAAGAATGAGGGAAAAAATGGGATTTTTTTTTTTTCTCACAAATCTACAAGTGATGAAAATATAAAATTCAAAGTTCATTCTCTACACTGTAATGAAGAAAAGGATGAAAGAACTCCATCAACCCCAGAGCTCTACTTTCACTTATAGAGTTGTACATAAACTCTTCTGATGTTATTATATTATGAAATTCACAGTGAATTAAGGCAAAACCAGCTCATCATCGATTTTTCACTCTAACTTGAAATCAGAAAAGAATTAGAAATATTTATATACATGTAGAGAAGGTCAGTGAGTTTGGTACCTCACTAAGAACCAGCCTGAAAGCCTGGTCCTGTCACCAAGCATGGACTCTTTTGACTCTGCCCAGCCAATGAGGAGATTCACTTTCAAGTCAGGCTTTGGAAAAGGCAGCATAGAAATCTCAGTGCAATATTGTAGCATTTTCCATTTTTACTGTAAGTGAAGGATCTCACCTTAACAAGTAATATTTTTTGATGTTTCAGGGTGTAGTTTAAGAGAGAGTGAAACAATCATTTCCCAGGTAGAGTTAGTGATGTGCAAGAAATTGTCTCAAAAGGTTTCAGGAATTTGATTGACGAAATGAAACATGGTCCTGACATCAATTTACTGAGATTACTTTTTAATGAATAAGACTTTAAAAGCATATGCAAAATTAAGATCAGTCACAAAAAATGCATCTGGATATTGCTATTAAAGAATGATAATACATAATGTATTGGAAATTAACTTTTATAACCTACAGAAAATGATTCTTGTCGCTGGCTCTCCCAATTTGTGACAACTTTGGCAGTAGAAATATTAACTACAAGCAAAGGAAACCTGAATTATTATTTTTTTTTCTTAATATCACCTGTGTGCCAGATAATGCCCTCTTAAAATATTAGTGTGCATGATTAGGGACTGCTTCTACAGTCAAATCCTGCTTATCTCCCACATGCAACTTCACTCTGAAGTTAAAGAGTGTGTGTGTCTTTCAAATAAGGATTTGGCCCTAATTTTTCCCTGTGCTCTTTTTCGTAATTTTCATGCTGGCATTGCACTCTGTTTCCCTTCTTTAGACAAACTGTATTCCTAGTGAAGACAATAAAAATGTTCACAGTAACTTTAATGACAAAGTGATAAAGTCCTTTGACAAAAATACATATAGCATCATTAAGGATATATTAATTTATACTGTATTTACCTGATTTGAGTGTTTTGATCAAAAATGGTCCATTTTAAGAATTTAAGATTTAAGAATAAAAGCTGAAAGAATTGGATTAATTTTCTCATGGTGAAAAGAAGAGAATCTTGACTGTGGCCTTTCCATGCCTAACTTAGGCCCATGCCATATGGGGAAAAGTAAATATATAAATCTCACTGTGAAGCTAAGTAAACAGGTAAACACCACTCTCCCTAAAGGAAGGACTACAACTTTAAAGAACTGGTAGCTTTTCCTGGGAAATGTTTATTTAAGGACAGTTGACTCTACTTCTGGGTCATGGTATTAGTAATAATGATCTAATGAGGTCCTTATCATCCCTGTAATTGCCTGACCTAATGATTGCAAGAACTTATTAACAAAAGGCTAAGGAAAAAAAGCTGTTCTTGTTCTGTGATTATAAGGGAGAAATGAATTACTGTCTTTCTCTTTTGCGTCCTTCTCCCTTATTTCAAAGGTGATGACATCAGTTTCCTAGCTTTCTTTTTATGAAGACTTATACTTTAAAGAACCATCACAGAATATATTTGACTTTTTGATACTTGATGACTGACTGTGCTCAAGATGTTTCCTTCCTGCAGTATACGTGGTTGCACTCTGGTAGATGTCTCAGTCTCATCTAACCGCCTTCAAGTTAATTGTATCTAAAAGGAAGAAATGCAGAAAATGCTTCAAGAGAGAAGGCATACTAGCTGCATATAGCTTAAATCTTGTTGTTGATGGGTAGGAGTAATAGGTAGAGGCATGGTAGCTTCAAGGAAAAGCTGGGTTCTTGCAACCTGTTTTTCTCCACAATGAGAATGAAGTGAAGCTTTCCCTACCCAATTATTAGCTGAAAACTAGAGGCTTTTATTAGCCTAATCATCTTTCCACAAAGAAGGAATGGCAGAATGATGGAAATGTCCTCTGGACCAGATCTTATTCTTCTCCTCCACAGTATGCAAAAGGTTTGGTTCTAAACATACACTGATTTTCCCCAGAGATCTGATAAGTATCACTTGAAATTTATCATAAGTTACTTTAATAGCATCTTTGATGCGACTAATGATGCTGTAAGAATAATTATATAATTTAATTGTGATTCTCTTTAGATTGTCTTCTTTTTGCAATAAGCTGAAGCATACCCACATGTAAAGAGATGCTGTGTGTAGCTTGATAAAAACGGTTTTACCTAAGCACACTTGAGAGCTCTGTATTTGCCATAGCCAAGTTGAATAAAAGTGAAAAATCTATTTTTGTATGTAAAAGGAGAGAATATTTTCCAAAGGAAAATAAGGGAGGGGGTGGGTGAGTGAACTACCTTACCATAAAGCTACTCATGCATTATTAATCTAATTTCCTATGAAGTTTGAACAAAAAGCATGTTGAG